TGGATCTGGAAGACGTGGTTGTGCCCCTAGGAATTGGTGGACTTTCTTTCTTTGTTTGTTTCGTTTGCTTTGTTTTTTTGGGTTGCATCGGATAGTCTTAATACGGCAGCTTCTACTTACCGTGTAAAATTACTGACTGAAATCTCATTCTGGCTTTTGATATCAGCATAGGCACACATTTGGTTCTACCTGTAGTTATCCAATGGTTACTAATTTTGTGCATGTTTCAGGTTCGTTCATTTCTAAATCCTTTGTGAATTAGTTTTCCATCATGTTCCCCCCTCCTTTAAATTCTTGTTAAGATAGATATTCATGTTAATACTTCAATTGTATCTCAAACATGATTGTGTCTAATAAAAAAATAGGTGTGATCAATATGTCTAATGAAAAAATCGGTGTGTGATCAATTAAAAAAAGAGAAAAAGCCTTAGTAAAGTGAGTTATAAAAAGAAATATTTTATAATAAGTCAAAGTAAATTGTTTAAATATTAAACTATGATCAGAGAATGAATGCGAGGGGGAAAAATGGGAAGTAAAAACAAGAGAATTCTCTCCTTCTTTGTATAGAAACAGTATAATATTTAAAGTTATTATAATATACTGCCTAAAAAAATTGTTTTAGTAGTTTTCAAAGTAAGTTAGTTAATAATTCTAAAGTGTTCAAGTCGTCACATGGGCTAATTATTTTTTGAATAGGGGTAAGCCCTCTTGCTGTGAAGGTTTATGGAGTTGGATATTTTCTCATTCACGCTTAAAAAAAAAAATTCAAGAAAATGGTATTCTCATTTTATGTTCATTTAGTTTTACTTGTTGAAAAATGGTAAGAGTGCAATTAGTTTTTGAAAAAATCATAAGTTTATTAAAATTAATTGTTCTTTAGTATTGTACAGTAACTCGTTCCCCCACCCCCCCAAAGATCAACAAAATTGTGATAGTAAATGGCACCGAAAAAAAAAATTGCAATAATAAACATTAAATTAAAAGTGTATAAATTATAAAATTTTAAACACAACACATTCAATTATAAAGATTTAATTGAAATACAAATTATGTTAAACTATAGAATGAAAAGTATACATTTTTCCATAAAAAATTCTATAAAAATTACTATAAAATCAAAAGGATTAGACCATTTCCCATTCCTTCGTTCACAAATTCTCATTCGTGAATAATATATTTTTATTCCCCCTTCAAACTAATCTAATTCTTCTGCTCATGCCGCTGCTTTGAAGACTAAGCATTTTTCTTCCTTTGTGATGGCACTACTAGTTACATTTACGTTAATCTCTACTGCTATCTAATTATAATATGAAGGGAACTGATAGAAGAGGAGACCGTAAACGTAAATCATGCAAAGGATGAAATAGTGAAGAGAAGAAATCAACAAGATATTGCTGCAGGAAATGCATAGTTTTGAATCCATAGGTGACACCTCAACATAATTAATACATCGTTATGGATTAATATGCACAACAATATGCGTACTATGGAATGGGAGCTTCCACAGTACAATAATTTGTTCCGCGGAAACCTCCAAATCTTTTGATCCACCGTGTCAGATCTTGCACCTAGGACCACTCCACATTGGATAAGTGGCCATTGTCGTGAACTGAGTAGCTTTGTCTTCATGAGGCAGTGAAGCCAGTGTAGGGTGGACACACCCACCAGTCCCCTCATTTCTTGGTATAGATGACAAGCTTTTCTCTGATAAGCGTACTAACCAAGACAATACGCTAATATGAATATCACTCTGAAAACTAACTAAATCTGATTTTTTTACCAAAAGTCCATTTTGTTAATATAAATGACATTACACTCGCTAATATCACAACCCAGTAATCTGATTGGTCAATCCCAAAGGGGGGGGGGGAACCACGCCCATGTAATTGAGTTAATGGAAATATCATCAAGTTTGGTTAATTCATGTAAAATAAGAATTGAGAGAAAGGGAATTATCTGCAATTCTGACTACTTACCTAGCGCCATTGTTGGTGGTGTTATTGTTCTGAGCTTCTTCACGCTCCTTCCCCAGAGGGCCAAAAATGGCATAAACGCCTGCTATTGCTGGAGCAGCAATGGCAGTGGAGAGGCAAATAGCAACACCTACATTAGGTCTTTCTGATCTTTTATAACCCAAGTTAAGGCCACATAAAGCATACTGAGCAAAGCAATTCACATGAAGCAACAACACAACCGCCATCAAGTGGGCCCTTTCATTGGGCTTGTAAGTGCCATTCTTGCAATATGCTTTTCTGAGGATAGAAATGTCTTTTGGTTTCCATCTACAAAGAAGAAACAGGTGGTGGAACCTCTTTGGATGCTGGTATAGGCACATGAGAGTGAACAGAGCATTAAGGATTTGATTGTTGACCTCAAACCACAAGTCTCTTTGGGACTTCTTGTTAGGACATTGTCTAACATTCCTGTGATTACAAGAAACAGAATTCCTCCTGAGATTGCCACACAAGTTAGCCATAACACCAGGGCTATGTTCATAGGGTTGTTAATCCACTCTCTGCAGATTTTTCCGATTCCATTGAATTTTGTCACTGGAATGGTTTCTTCTACTTTTTCTTCAGTGAGCAGTCCCTTCGGGATGAGGAAATTTGCAGGGACATGTTCAAATTGGTCTTGGAATCAGCTGGGTTTGCTGGTTCTTGCAAGCCTCCTACAATAGCAGATGAAGTCATTCTACCAGCCAACAAAATTTGAGCCTCTACTGTTCCAAATGGCTTCTGCATGCCCAAGGAGAGTAGTATCACTTTGAATCTCAAATCTTGCAAAATAGTGAACAAATACGGAGACTTCTGGGTTTAATTATTTGTTAGTATTAGTAGCTTGTGTTTCTATTTGATTCTATTATATTAAAAATTTGTGATTTAGTTCCTATGATTTGAGAAAACTTGAAATTAATAGTATTCATTAAACATCCAGTCAGTCATGAATAAATACACATAGCATGTAATGTTAACTAGAATGCTAGATTGAGTGACGAAACCCAGCTAAATTAATCGCTGTCATCAATTGAACAAATCACCAAAGATGGTTGATAACAGACAAAGATGGTTGATAACAGACACAAAACCCACCAATAAAATTTTAAATTGTAGACAGAAAGGGAATAATTTGGCCAAACTGTAAGTAAGCTAACTGCCATTCTTCGTCAATTAGGAAGATCTGATCCTGGTTGTCTGTAACCTTGAAGAAAAAATCTTACTGCTATCTGTTGGAAACTTACTTCGTCAAAAGAAGATGCTACAGCTGTGTTGAAGCGTCAAGGATTCAGTTTAATTAGAAAATGTTGTGGGCAATTTGTTTTACAAAGAAACCAGTTTCTGAAACAGAGAACTCGGGAGGGAATTCTGATCAGTTTGGTCCGATTCCTGAAACGCTAAAATGATGGATCCAACATGAAGGAGAACGAAAATAGTAAGAAGTAAATGGTGAAGAAGAAAAACTCTACCTTTAGTGCTATGGTGGATGCAGTGAGGAAAACGAGTTGATATTCATTGAAGCTACGGTGTAGTGTAGGTCGCGTTCACTCTTCTCTTCGCTTTGCGCAGGATAGTAGCATTGGTGACTTTACTCTCTGCCAGTTGCAAAAGCGGGAATATCTTGGAACTTTTTCAAAACATGTTTGTTCCGTTGTAAGGTTTGAAGCTGAACCACCAGTAATTCATGATCCATCTGTTTCTCTTGTCCAATCAACTTTTATTTCATTTTTGTATTAAACAATTTATATGGTAGTGCTCCTACCTTGTACGGAAGACAATTACAAACTAATAGCGTGATTTTTTTAAAAAAATTATATTATTTATTAGGTATAAATTATGAAAATCTTAAAAATTTTATTATTTTATAATATATACATACAGAAGTATAGAAAGTTTTGAATTTTTATTTTAGTTCAGAATTACTTTTAAGAATGAATTTTACAATAGAAAATGTTATAGATCCTATCCTACACAAACGCTGACACGCACGAAGTTTGAGAAGAGAGTTGCTATGGATAATACAATAGTTGATAATTTTATGCTCTCTCCGTTAGAAGGTATAAAATATTTTTTTAAGAAGTTATATATTTAAAAATATAAAATATTTTTAATTTTTTGAGATATAATTATTATTTTTTTTAAAATATTTTTATAACTTTATATTTATTGTAGGATATTTTATAAAAGTATATATGAAAAGATAGGGTTAGTTAAAAATAAATAACTACTTTATTAGAGGGTGAAATTTTGTTAAAAATACCTTATATTTTAAATGGAGGAAGTATTACATATAGATAATGTAATAAAAAGCATATGTAATTCTCTAAAAAATTACTTAGAATTATTTTTATTGATATAACTGTATTTGGTCAAGATTTTATTAAGAAAATATTTCTTGTTTTCAATTTCTAATTATTGTTGAGAAAAAAAGAACTGACGTTACAATTAATTTTGTTTGAATAGAAGGGTGATTTTTTAAAGGAAAAATAATAATAAAATTTTATTAAAATATATAAATAATAATTAACTCTTTCAAAATGTCATAATTACTATAAAGTTTTAGATACTTTTCTGACATTAATAATTTTAGATTAAATAATTAAATTATCCCTCTTTTAAAATAAAATATAACTAGTACATGAGGGAAGTTGTGGTTCTTTTTATTCAATTCTTATCATTTATAAAATAAAAGTTGTGATTTTTTAAATAAAAATTATAACTAATTTTTTTAAACTTGAATTTTAATTATAAAAGAAATTTCACGTGACAAGTTATGATTATTTATTTTTTAAAACTTGAACTTCAAAAAAAAATTTACATGAGAAGTTGTGATTTCTTATTCAATTTTTATGATTACATAATCAAAGTGATAATTACTCAAACAAAAATTATGATTGGAACTGGTTATTTTTTAAAACTTATTTATCAATATTATAAAAGAAATTTTACGTAAAAAATTATGATTTTTTATTCAATTTTTATGATTAATAGAACAAAAGTTATGATTGCTTAAATAAAAGTTGTGATTGAAAAAATAGAGCCAGACTTATTATTTTATGTTAAAAGGAGACGATTTAGTTATTTCACATAAAATCATTAATATCAAAAAAGTACCCAAAAATTTTAAAAAAATTATAACATTTTAAAGGATTTAATTGTTATTTATATATTTTGATGAGATTTTATCATCATTTTTTAATAATTATATCTTAGAGCAAAGAAATGTAAGCTAAGTTAAACGGGGAAAAACACACCTTCCATGCATGAGGTTTAATCTTTAGATCCTATTTGATACATAGGACTAATGAAGAGGGATTGGGATTGACTAGTGCCACCTTTTATGTTTGGTATAAGGCAATGAAAAATTTAATTCCAATCTCAATTTGATCTATAAGGAATTACCCAATGTCACCACCCTCATGGTATTGAAAAATCAATCATGAAATTGATTATTTTGTGACCAAATTACCCTCCCCATCCACCCTCTCATCTCTCTCCCCCCACCTTCCACCCAGTGACTGCTCTCTCTCTCTCTCTCTATGGCCGCCCCACATTGTTGGTGCCATCATTCCTAAAGCAACGTCCTTCCCATCTGTCTTCCTCCCACCAGTTTTCTTTGAGTTTGAGTGGGCTCCCTTTTGCCTCCATCTTCCACCTATTGTTTCCAGTTTACAAATCTTGCAGATTGCAATAGGATTAACCACAAGCTATAATAGTGGTGTCTTCATGATTTAGACCATTAATGACTGCCAAATCTGGTTCAAGTTCAAGATGCATCACTGTGTTTTGTCAGTTCAAGAGTCTCATCTTCTCGTTGATCTCAAAAGAATGAAAATCTCTCTCCCCTTCTTTCTCTGCCTTCAAAAACCCAACCATAAAGCAAAGAATTTGCTTCGATAGTCTTAGCAGCTTCAAAGGAATTAGTAGTTATGTCTTGAATAGGAAAGCATTCAGATGAGAGAGAGAGCTAGTGGAGAAAAGCTGATCGGTGCGGCAAGGGAAGGGAGGGTTATAGCGACAAAGGAGATGGGTTTTTGGGCTCTCTTTTTTTATTAATTTAGGGGTATTATAGTCTTTTGATAATTTATGTTTAATTGTAAGATAAAAAAATTGAAAGTATTCCCTCTAATTATTATCCCATACTAAATATAATTTTAAAATCTCAATCCCTCTCTTAATCTCAATTTTAATTTCAATCTCTTCAAATTCAAGCTTGCATACTAAATAAGGCCTTTAGACCATGCAGTTCCACTAATTAAGCAAAGGCCAGTCGGGCTATCCTGGCAGTACTGGACTACGAATTCCTTTATGGGCTTAAGAATAGTTTTAAAAGATATTACTAGTTAACAACGTTAAAACTTGTTATCCAAAAAAAAAAAAAGAACTTGGTCTTTATCAAAAAAGAAAACGTTAAAACTTGGACTATGCGGGGCCTAAAATAGGTAAATGACAAAAGGAAATTAAAGAAGAGGATAAAATATTACAGTGCATATAGAAAAAATCATGTATGTATCTACCACTAGTTGACGATGGGGACATCAAGTGATGGTGTAATGCTGCGGCAATGCCTTTTGCTTTGATTGGTTTTGGTTCAACACTTCACATGTGATTTTCTGCTGATCCTTTCTCTCTGGTATTCTAAACATATATGGCCTCCATCTTTTGAAGTTCTTGTTGAAAATTCCCTCTCATTTTTCTCCATCAAATGATTAAATTTCTGAAATCCTAAAATATCATTTATAAGCATATTTATTTGAATCTAAATATTCTCATAAGGGGAGGATTACATTGAAGGAGCTAAAGGCTCTAAAATTAATGATTAGTGATGTTAAAAGTGAATTTTATTTTTTTAGGATTGACAAAATTAAGGTTCTTGCATGTTTATGAATTATAATGATAGGAATGTCTCCATTCTTTGTTATAAGAATAATATAAATAAAGAACTCCTGAAAGTATCAGACAAGTATTTTGAATAAGTAAATATTAACAAATAACAAATGAAGTTATTATTTTGTTTAATAAGTATTCGATTTGTCTAAATCATTGTCAGGTATTATATTAAATTTTTTCAAGGGACACGTCCTTAGTTTCGTCACTTCTCATGTTCTCTCTTTTCTTTGCAGGAGGAGATGCGTCCTTCTGACACAAAAAGACTCATTTTACATAATGCAACAAGATCCTTTATTCGTGAAGAAGACTCATCCTTGAAAAAAAATCATTTGACAAGGAAAAAAAAATAAAATAACAGATCAAAACCATATATATTCTTGAAAACGGATGAGTCTTGTTCTGTCTTGTAAAATGAGATTAGTTTTTGTGTCTTCTTTTCCAAATTATTGATTAATTAGCTTGATACGTTATGTAAAATGAGAATTCAATTTTTTTTTCCCCGGTCAAATTAACACCGCCTTATGATTTGGTGTGAAGTGGATGAATTCATTATTCAACTTTAAGTAGGTATTTAAATTTTAAACGTGGGACACAGCAATAATTCTCATGTACTGTAGAAGATATGTTGAGGGAAAAAAAGATCTTGGAATCATTCTTTTTAACTTTTTCTCTATATGATCGGACACAATTAGCAATCACACATTTCACTTCCGAATGCTTCTTGTGCCCACATGCATCCCAAGCTATATAATTCACCTTTACTCTCGGATTCCTAAGCAACACATAATCCTGTTCACTTCACATGTTAACAAGTTAAGCATATTCGTGTCATTGATAATCTTCTTTACACAGTGCGGTGCAGGTGTCTTTTGTAAGGTGTTAAAACCCTTTTGGTGATCTTTAATAGGAGACGAATTTAACAAATATCACATTTATATATTAAGAAATGTTAGTTATAACTTTAAAATTGTAAAAAAAAACCTTGTAACTTTCTAATTTTATCTTTTTTTCAATTAATGATCGTAATAAATTGTTATTTTGGAATTTAAATAATAATAAATAAACAAGGGGACAAAATTAGAAAATAGCTTTAATTACTCTAACATCATCTTATATATTTAGGATGAAAAAAAAACTTTCAAACTTCATTTTATATCAAGTACTGGAATGGGTAACATTTAAATGAGATGTATTGTTAACACCTAAAGTAAGTGCCTTAATTAGATAACATGTTTTTGCTAATTGACATTTATTAGTTGATGGTCACATTTTAAAAGAATTACCAATACTAATTGTTTTGAAGAATTGGCCAGCATGAATACAATATAAAACTATTACAGTGATGAAGTGAGTAAGTGCAATTTTATAACTCAGAATATATTTTAGGAGATCAAGAGATAAGGCCATATAAATAACTTAGCCTGAAGTGTATGAATGGGTTTCATTTAATTTTATACTCTAAACTTTTTGAGTGCATCCCACAGAAAATTCAGTAAAGCCGCGTGCACAAAGTCTTCCCATTTTGTATAATTTAAATAGAATATCATTGTGACCGTGCCGGAATTATTTAACTGCAAAAAGGTTTTGAGCTTTCTGATTAATTAAACAATTCAATGAATTCATTTAATTCATTAGTTATAGATTAATCTTTTAACTAAAATAAAAGAGAATACTTTATATGTTACTCAAATGATTTTGTTCTTTATTATTATATTAACATCATTAGATTAGGAACTCGAAATAAAAAAGACAAAACTTGTCAAGTACTAGCACCGGAATCACAGAGGGCGAAATCAGAGATGACCCTGAATGAATAAGAAAAATACTTAATCAAAATTCTTGGGACAACAATTATCTATAATTTTTTTAAATATAATAAAATCTTTTGAAATATGCAAGACAAGCCAGTGCTTGCGAATGACTTTGATCAAATTTACCTTCAAACAGTATCAGCATAGTTAAATTAACGTTGATAATTCCACTCAAAACGAGTCAATTAGCACATGATATTTTTATCAAGATGTAGGCCTCACAAAATTGTTTACTTAATTCCCACTAATTATTCAGCTAAGTTTGATCAGTATTATATGGCTCCCACTATGGGACATTGTGCCCTAAGTGATATGCCCATTAAACAGAGTGCTCATTGGCACCACAACTACTTCCATGCTTGTCTCCCTCATTTGATAAACAACTCATAAACCACTAACCTCTCTGCTTATTTAACTATTGCTTTTAGAATGTGATGTCAAGTGTAAGTTTACAAAATTGACATGTCTGACTAAAATAATTATAAATCTCAAAAGGCATTCCAAAATGTATCTTTCTTTTCAAATATCCCGCTCTTGTATCTCTCATTTTATTTGTTTAGATTTGTCTTCTACTACTCACATCATTGTCAGACGCTTAGTGGAGTGGAATGCCAGATCAACGGGGTCAAATCCAACATTTCATTCGGCATATGAAAACAAACACCATCTAGCCAAAAATTTAGTTTATCTTAATTAACTTAATGGAAATCTTAATCACACTTAATGCAAGGTTCGATGATATTCTGTTGTTTTGTTCGTTCTCATTAATATGTAGTTAGCCTGAGACCCAGAAAAAGTTTAACTTTCAAAGCACTAATATTTTTTTTTCATACATGGTCTGTACTCTCAGATCGTGCCTTGGCATCTAAACTGTCCTTTTCTAGAAGCCAAGTTTAAATACAATAGCACCAATATAATCTCAGTGTGTGTTGGTGTGGAACAACAAATTGTTTCTAAATCAGACTTCTTTCTACCTGTAATTAAACATATGATCAAGGGACTAATTACAGATCAGATCAAGATTCATGTATATATACACAATATACATACATTAGCACACACCACCATCAAGTAGAGAATGGAAATATAACATCGTATACAGATAACTTCTATGGGAAAAAAATGCACTCGACATGCTATAACTAATATAAATAATTAGCTAGTTACATTAAACCATACAACCACAAGACTTGAAGTTAAGTCGAAGATTATCAGGAATGGGATATAAGAATGAATATAGCTAGATACTTAACCATAATGAAAAAACTATTATGGGTTTCACTTTCTGCTTACCTGGTCTTATAAGGAAATATTTGTCCCCTCTGAATTATTGAACCAGCTTTTGAGTTGGATTTTGTTTTTCCTCAGAAATATAAACCGTACCATAAGAATAGCGGCATTATAATCCAACTTGGAGAGTTTTGTCTTAGCGAGAAACTTAAAATAAGTAAAATGTGAAAAGAGAATTTGAAAAAAAAAAAGGGAAGAAAATGCTTCTAATACTTGATGACCAGAAAGGATGAACAAGGAAGGCCACTTAAGAGGAACTAAGGTTTAGTATAACTCAATGAACCAATGACTGATTAAATGCAATTATGAAGTAAAATCCTCACCACATCCACGTCAGCTCGTCTAAAAGAAAAGCCTAAAATGAATTATGAACAAAGCCAATATATATCTTTCGTGCTAGAATTTTACATATAGTTTGGCCTATTCAGGTGGGAAGCATGATATAAACTCAATGTAGATGCCATCCAGGAGCACGCACTAAATAATTCAGTTCCTATAAAAGAAAAAAAAAAAAAACACACACACACACACGGTAATGTAAAAGAATAGCATTTTGCGTAATCTATTTAACTGCTAATTAATTTTCAAGCTTTATTAATTGTAATCCCGAACAAGATTTCTATATATTGATCAACTGTAAACCTTCTAATTTTCTTCTGCTTCTTCCTCCTCTCACTTACAAGGAATTCTTGGAAGGAAAATGTCGCCGAACATCAGACAGAAATGAACATTTTTGATCATGACAAGCGATTAGGAATTGTGAACTTGACCAACGATCGGTAAGGCACATCCGTAACCATGATTGGTCTATCGATATTCAGATTATATCACCTCATTTAGTGCCATTTAAACAAGATCCATATTTTTTAAGACAAATATCCTTTTTACAACGCATTAGCAAATGTATATGATCTTTTATTTTGAGCTTCATAGTTCATGAATATTGTACCATATCTTATGTGTTCTGCACTAATTAAGCCTCTGAAATCAGTCAGAAGCTAGTGGGAAGGAAGTAAGTTTCCACTTAATTTTTCTACTTTCTCCTTTTTGACAATTTACCGCATTAATATTTATCAAACCAAAAAGAGTGATAATTAAAATGTGCCCACTGATGAGTGAATTTCAAGTAGGATCTTCCTCTTTAGGCAGCAAACTGTTTTGCCATTTTTGTTTTCCATCTTAATACTACATAGACATATTTAATCCATAGGTTTAAGTTATAATATATTTTCCAAGATGAATACAGATATGGATTCAGTGAGTGTCCCAAATTCTCTCACACAACTACCATCTTACGTATAGAGATTGTTGATTTAATTGAATTATTGCCAAAAATATTTGCACACAAGATACAAAGAAAATACCAAATCACAGTCTCTAATGTCTATCCTTTTGTTTTATGCCCTATATTTCAATCCAACGATTTACATGGTTGCAGAGAAATGATTGAAATGCATTCTCATAAAACCATCATTTAACTCACATTTTCATTTATTTATAGCCAACCATGAATTTTCAAATGTTGATGAAATCCTGTATCAATAGTGTGAATACTCACAGTAGTGGATGAGAGATTTTAGACGCTCTTAGAATCCAAATCCAATGAATACAGGCCAGGTGGTGTCAACATCAAGTAGGATTATTTGGTATGATGGTGGCATATATTAGGTTACATCTCTGAATTTGAAGGTATAATGGTGGCATATATGAGGTTACATCTCTGAATTTGGAGGGTATAACCGGCCTGTAATTAATTATTATAAACTAAACTATTTGGCAAGTGATATACGAGCAGTAAGTGGTCCTATTGATATCATTTCTCACTTGTGAAAAGTTGTTTGGGTTGCAGGCTCAAAAGGTCCCACGCCCAACTAAGCCTTTCAACTTTCCTGCTCTTTCCCCATACCCATCCTCCTCCTTTAATTTAAAAACACCATCTCTATTGCTTCTTTTGATATATATACATGAGTAGGCTTCAACCACTTGTGATGCGTATGGATGTTTTCCTAGCTAGCTAATAGCTAGACCTCTGACCAATCTCTCTTTAACTTCTCGTTTCTTCTTCGACTCTATTGTGTGTTCTATCATCTTGTTGGAGAAGAAGGTGCATGCTGAGCAGGATGGAGAAGCAGGGCACGTGCAATGCTAACTCATGGTCGACCACATTTTGTTCTCTGCCTCATCTTCCATGGAAGAGGTTCAGTTCAGAGCAGTGAGTTAGTCTTTCATGTGCCCATCTTCCCCATCATGACCATAGCACCTTAGTTACGTCACAGCATCTGGAAATGCTGCTGAATGCTTCGCTCAACGAGGACCAGCCATCATCACCTGATCCATCTCCTAATAATATAAAACGTTCTCTGATTGATGCTCCATAATATTCACGTTCAAGGTGAGTACAATTAATTGGTATCATTTTCATCCGTCATCTTCTTGTTAGCCTTCATTAAATTCAGTCAGGAAGTCACATTGGATGAACCTAAAAACCTAAACTTTCAAGACCATCAAGTCAGTGGCTTGGAATGTGGGGCTGAGTTTTGAGAAATTCATCATAGAACATGACATGTTAAGCTATAAGCATTCATCATATGCCGTGCATAAACTTTAAAACTGGACGCCGTTGCATAAATATCGATCAGATCAAACTATCTAGCTCTAGACTTTGAAATTAATGAATATATGTGTTACTTCTGAAAATAACAAACATGCTAGTCCTGCCGGTTGCCACACCCCCACCTTACTTAGGCTTGCATAAAAGAGAATTTATTTGCTTTTCTGACTGAATTTTAATTGTGCGCTTCCTGACTTTTGTAAATTAAAGTGATGAAATGGATCTAACAGTTTAGCAACTAATTAAATTAATTACTCAAGATAACCATGAAGAACTGTGAGTGGTATCATCGTGTGGCAAGATTAGCAGGTGATGGAAATGGGAACCCTCTAGTTTTGGGTTCCTATCTCTCATCCTTAAAGCATGTAAATAATGTCCGCAGAAAATGTCAATTCTCACGAAGCACGCATTAACTTGTGACTTGCCTTTGCATATGATTTTTATATAATGATTGAAAACGACCGAAGTGATTTATGAGTCAGTGGCTCATTTATACATCCTTCACTAAGCTCGCGCAGAGCTTATAATATTGTTGTGCGCACTTGTGTGTGTGTGTGTGTGTGTGTGTGTGTGTAAAGCACTGATGATCAATGCGTTGCTAATTTTTCTATCATATCTCATGCCTCATATAAGCTTCTCTTGTTCCTTCCCAATAAATTAAGTATGAGCTTACCAGAAATTTTTTGTTAAAAATTAATAGTAATACGTTCAGAAGTAGGCAATCAGGCAAAAGAGACCACGAATCACGAGAAACAAATATTCATGCATACAAGTACCGTCTATATAGATCTTCGTGATCACCTTATTATATATAGTGTTTATTAAGTGGCTGCGTTCAACACACGACTTCTAATGAATGGCGGCATATGTCTATACATGATGATTATAAGTCAATTTGTATGCTGCAAATAAAAGAATTATTCATGAGAAAATTTCACTTGACCCAAACCTAAAAAATTAAAGTGGTTAAATTAAACTAACTATTACTACTTGAAATTAAGAATGCAAAACATTAATGATGTCCCTGACTACGTACAAATCCCATACCAATCATTAGTTTCTTTGTTTCAGCAATATAATTATATTCCTTAGGCTAAATACTATCAAGAATCTGTTAGTTTAGTTTACATCTACAGACATCAAGTCGTAATGGTTGTTTTGGAGACGGCTGAATGCCAAAGACTCGAGAGTTTGCTTTCATTTGCCCAGTCCTAATGGTTGTTTGATTCGTGGGACTGGGATCATTCGTGGATTCCCGAGAATGTTTCATGAGAATTCATACTGTCTTTTTTTTAATAAGAAAATATTCTCATCACTCACGCATATGGGACAATAGTCATGGAAATATGTTTTGTGTGGGTGTGTGTGGGATATACACAAAAAGCTTCATTTTGATTCCCATCGGGGAGGTGGAATGTTGGATTCCCTTTCATGAAGAGAGAATGTTTCCGACATAAGATATATATATATATATATATATATATTTGGAACATTGGTTCCTAGAATATTTCTTATGAAGCAAGGTTAAAACGTCATATTTATTTTAGAAGAAAAATTACATATTCAGAAATCTACTCTTTCTAAAATATCAATCCAAGTTTTGGAGAACAAGACTGACTTTTTTCTTTTTTTTTTGATAGATTTGAATTTTCAACATTATTTACACTCTACCTTAATTAATTTTAACTATCATCTAAGTTAATCAGGAACCCTTTAAATAAAATCCATAACCTCACTCTTAAATTTACAACCCAACTGTTTACATAGGGCCACTCATGCCCATCAACACCCACCAATTATTGACGCATCTTTATTGATAGGCGGTTGTCACATGATGCTTGTGTAGCTGTCTCCTTAGTGATTCTTACTAACTCACATGCTTATATATATATATATATATATATATATGCGGCAAACATGAATCAATCAAACTTTTGCATTTTTTCCTATTTTACAGTACTGAGGAAGTTGTCTTCTGCCTCACCATAACCAGATATTACTTGAGAAGGGTCTCGTCTTAATATTAAGTTTGTCATATATATGTGGGCCTCCTCGATGAGTAACCAAATCACTCTCTCTCACGAGGGAAGTTCCTATCCAACCGACGAATGGTCACATACTCATTCTGTCAGTGATATATATATACACACGTAGGATGTGTAAGCTCAGTTAGACTATGAATATGAAATATTGATTATATATTATAGTTGATGGATTGGTTCAGATTTTACCTTGTTCAGTTTAATTTTGTTATTTTGATGACGAGATCTTTTCTCTTATATCGATTTGGTGTATTTAATTTTTCTAACATGCTCTAAATAATCCATGGGAAGTTAATATGCTAGAAAAATAATATTTGTCAAAAGTGAAACTTCGTTTGGCTTTAGACATTTGCTTGTGCAAGTAGTCACCTCAATTAAGACAAGTTGAAAGCCGAAGAAGCCTGAAGCACTTGTTATAAGCACCGCTAAAAAATGCATTTTTAACCGTTATATATAATTCACATGGCAATTATTCACAAAAAACCATTGAATAGATTTTTTTCAGTTTTGGTTTCAATAAACTATCCAATAAACTATATAGCTGTTTTTTTATTCAAAATAACTCCTCAATAGTTGTATAATATTTAATGATTATTTAAAAAAAAAACTGTTAGATAGTTTAGCCCAGTTTCTATCAATTCTCACATGGTTGCCTAGAAACTATTTAGTGATTTTTTTAAAAATAACCATTAAATAGTTGTGTCTATATAGCAATTATTAAGAATAACCATTAAATATATAAAACTATATAGCAGTTATTTTAAAATAACCGTTATATAATTTAGCCTTTTTGTTAAAAAAAAATAGGGGAGTTTTATTTCAAGCAACGTAACTCCTTGCAAAACAAACTACAAACATCCCAGAAATATACCAGTAATAGAATATTCTAATTTCAACCAAAATTTGCATGCCAAAGTATTTAAATCTATAATAATCTTTTAAATTTATTTAAAAGTATTTCAAAATTCTCAAAAATGCCTATACACTAAAGTAATTATAAGAAAAAAAATTTCTAAGTAAAACCTATTGCAAGTTTAAAAGGCCAAAGTTAATCAAAAACTAAAATTGGCCAAAGTAAGCTTATTTTGCTTAAGTATAAAGAATTTATATACTACAAACAAAATTGAGCAAGCTAAGATGGTTGTGATAATTTGTTTTGTACCCATTGCTTAAACAAACTCTTGGCCAACACGTCAAGGACTTCTTTAATTTAAGCTAGACTATATTCCTTTACATATGCATCTTAAAAGTACTATTAAGCCACAAACATAACATAAATCCCGTTTAAGTATGTGACGTGTATAAGATAATGTTGATTATTAAAATTAATAAAGTAAAGATAGGATACATATACTTGGTCAGGCATAATCCCATCAACCAGTGCATGTTCAGCTATGTCTTTCATGTACCTCATGATGACATAGCCACAATCAACAATCCTGTCACATTGTTTTGGACTCTCTTGATCATCAAACCAAAAAATTAAAGTTGGTTATAATATAATATACTTAATTTGATAAAATAAATTGAAGGTAAATGTAAACCTTAATTATCTTCCATTCAAATGTGTCTTTGTAAGTAGTAAAATTTCCATTAAAGGCAACTCTCTACGGCTTCGAAACATTTAGACAGCCCTATATGACAATATGAAACTTTATATGAAAAATCACATGAAAAATAATAATTTATACACATGCAAAAAAAATATTTAACTTATTTATTGAACATTAATATGATATGTTTCCAGTTATTTGGATACCCTCTAATAGGATTAAGGTACCAATTCAGGCCTCTATATGGATTGAGCATGAGTAGCATCTAATGAGCACATAGCTATTTTACACCATGTTCCAATAATCATGCCCTTTCATATAGAACGTGTGCCCATTTATGACATAGCTAGTGTAAGAAAGAATATGCTTAGTCGGCCTATTTGCCAACCATTTCAACCTCTCAAAAATTGAACTACAATTGGCATTATACATTTCATTAATCAGTCCTTTCAACCAACTGATAAAATGTTTATTGTGCATTTTAATAATCATTGTTCTTCTCTATTTAAAGTTATGGCTTTTAATCTTTGCCATGTGCTTCTTTGCGTACTCGTCGATTTTGGAGAGTTGTAAAGTACATATAGATGTGCTTCTTCCTATTATTAGTTTGAGATAGTAATGACTTTTCTCATTGTCACCCTTTCATTATCACGACAATCTTTTAAAAGCCCAGTATCTCAATAGCTTCTTCTTTGATATATTGTTCAACAATTCAATTCGCTAGTCAAGTCTAATCTTTCATGTACTCTTTTAATACCTTTATGTAATGCTCAATTGGGTACATCAATCTCAAATAGGTAGGGCCACATAATTGTACCTCTCTAACAAGATGAATTACTTTACTATAAAGAGCATTGACAAAGAAACAAAGTCTTCTTATTGTTGCTTGCATACTATCAGGTAAAAAACCACATCTAGCTACTAGTAAAAAAATTTCAATCAAAACATGATAGTTATAAGATTTTAAACCCTTCAGTTTCAAATCCCCTAATAAAATAGGGTTCCTCACATATTTGAAGACAAACCTATTGAAACTTCTACTCTGGCAAGAGACTCACAAACACTTGCTTTTTCTTTTCTAGATAGTGTGTGAGCCGCAGCACTAAGATGTAATTGAATTCCCTTTTCCCCAGTGCTAATTCTTCCCTTATTCCCATCTCATCGATGTCTAATATTGCATTGATGCCATCCTTAGTCTTCCTTAAAACATGAAGCAGATTTTTGACAATACTATCACATACATTTTATCCAATGTGTATCATATCAAGAAAATGCCTCAAATCTAATGTATTCTAACATGGCAACTCAAAGAAAATTGACTGCTTTTTCAATTGCTTGTTCCTACATACCTTACCAACTTTTTGCCAAATTTGATATCCAAACTTGACCTTTTCAAATAATTCCTCACAAGTTAATATCTTTGGTGGCTTACTTTCTTCTAATTTCTGATTGAAAGATTTTTCCTATTTATGGTACTAATAATCCCTACATAACCATTTGTGATATTTCAAATAGACATTATTCATCCCATGAATTAACCTCATTAAATGTGTATTATCTTCACAAATAAGATACGTCTAAGATGTCTTTTAATGCTGTACTCGAATAAATTATCATATGTCAAATAGTCATTATGTAACATCCTTAAAAATTAACCCTTATTCAATTAAGTTAAATAAGGGTAATTAAGTAAATTAATATGGTAAATGGTGTGTGGACAATTAGAGAGAACTAACGGACCTATTCAGTTGTGATTACAACCTAGGAGTTAAGTTTGAAGTGAAGTTGGGGCCCTAAGAAAGGAGGAGAACATGAAGATCTAGTTTTGCACCATGCACCATGGCACATGCAAAAGTTGTTGTGACGCATGGTTTATGTAATACTTTACATTTTTTTTAAATAATTATCACAACCATGGTAGAAAAGTGTCTACCATGGTAAACAGAAATCAACTCCTTAAATTGTTATTTCTAAAATTTGTGATCCCAAGCATTTATAAAATGAAAACAAATGTGAAAGGCCTATATGATCCTATTTAAAATTGAAAATATGATAAATAAAATATAATAGGAAAAATAGAAATAGTTACACATTTTATAATCTTATAACCACCTAGTAACCTTTTCAAATAACACAAAAACAATTTTTATTATTACTCATACATATCTACAATCACAGTTGGGTTACAGCCATCCAACACAATTTATATAAAGAAAATCAATAAAAATTCATCTAATATTTGGCTTTGATTTACATAACACAATATCATTATAAAATTATCCTTTCACATGCCATCTAGGCTAAAATATCATTCTCTCATTCTTATGCTCTCGACAATTATAAACCAAAGCCAACATTTATAAATAGATCAATTGGTCGAACTCAACAAACAAGTCAAAACACATGCCCAATCACATACCTTTTTTCAAAACATTTAACATTATCAAGTATCATCAATGCCTTAACAAATACAAAAATATTTATCAACAATGCATGTTTATAGTCATCCCAAAATATATAACGTGCAGAAATTATTTAAAGAGGCACGATCACAACCATGAATCCATATATTCAATAAATAACAAAGCCTTAACATTGGTAATAATGCATTATTAAAATTATAAATTCAAACCCAAAAAGAGGAAGCGGTTTGGCACCACTAAGCCTCAAGAGCTTATCCAAATGCCACACACTTGACCCCTCTCCTGAAAATTGTTAACCATGTAATGAGACTCAAAAGTCTCAGTAACTAATGCTATTTATGATGGTGTATACAAACAGTTAAATATGTGCTTGCTAAGTAGGGAAACAATAATCATATAATTTCAACAAAAATATGAAATATATTATAATTCATGACAAATAACCATTCTTATCTCCTTCCATTAACCTCGAGTCGTAGCCCTCACTTGATGCTACATTACCCAGCCAAAGGTAAATTAACTTGAGCCCTTATAAGCCACTTATTGGGCCTCCAATAGGGGTGTACCACATAGTACATAAATGCAACAATAGTAGCAAGTCTACCAACACTTCTACAATAATCAAACAAATTCATATCAACATTGTACAATTATACAATATTATAATTTTCATAATTTTCTCATTTTCAACAATATAACAACATAACATCCCACTTGACAAAAATACTTCAAAATGAATATTCACAATTTTTTCATAAATATAACAAAATAATTTCTCAACAATAATTCATAATTTTCTCAATAATCACCCAATTAACATGAAACAACATTAATCACAAATTAAAAGTATGGTTACCTCGTGTCTTTTTCAATAAATTATTCCTTATAATTTTTCTTCTACCACAATCTTCACCAACAACACAGTCTATAAATAATATATTATTTATAAATATTATTGAAACTAATAAAATAACTCTAATAATAAAATTAGAGAATATAACATAATTCCTAATCCTATTATTAATACAAAACTAAAGTTAGTACCCTCAAGTAGAATTTTTAACTCCTTTTTTTGCTATCAATAAACACTAATAAGCTAAAATCAATCTCTAAAATAATTTTTATTATCAAAATTTTTCTTTTTATTTTATAAATTCACACCTAAAAATATTCAAAAATTTTAAATTTAGTCTTAAGCTTAGAAT